TTCACACAATACGCTCGATGGAACCTTATATGCAATGTTGAGGATTCATATCCCACGATAGTTGGAGATTGTGGTGTCTCCTTTTTTATGGATTTGGCATAGCACACTTAAATTCCAATCTTTGGGCATGCTTTCGTCCGACATTTTACAAAGAAGTTGATCTCCTTATCAGTTCTTCGCCGCCGTGTTTGAATAGCTCAGCCGGCAATCCATCGGCCCCCGCCTCTTTATTGTTCTTCAGGCGGGTAATTGCTATTCGAACTTCTTCCTGGTCGGGCGATGGAACGTCTGCTCCATCGTCATCGGTTGGAGAATCGGGTTCGCCTTCTCCTGGCGTTGTGCGTTCACTGCCATTCAGCAGGCTGAGGGAGTGTTCCCTCCATAATTTAAGTATACTCTGGGCATCAATCACTAGATTTCCTTTGGGGGTTCTACAAGAGTATGCTCCGGTCTTGAAACCTTCTACTGCCAGCTAGCTTGTCAAGCTCTGCATACTCATGCATTTCGGCCTCTTTCTTTTTCTGTCTGCAAATGCGTCCCATGCGTCTATCCCATCCTGCACGTATTATGGTCGACCGTAACATTGCGAGGTAGGCACTCAGTCGTACCAGCTGTTCTTTTGCGTTTTCCGGAAACCAATGGTTTCGGTTGCAGCTGGACATAAGGAATTTGAAATGCCGTCCACAGTTCCCTTATACCGAGTTCTTGACGAGTGCTCTCAGAGAGCAGGAGTGCAAGTCGAGTAGAAAATCGTTCTGCTGTCTGTTGTGATTGCAGTTTCTCGACGTCGAACCTTCCTTGCCTGTTGACGTGCTTTTTTTACTGCGAGGAGTCGATGTTAGGACCTCGGAGCGCACGCACATCTAAACCATTGGAGACGTGTCTTCTATTTTCTTATGCTGGAATCTAGTACTACAGATAACCATATTTCGGGCCCCGGCGAAGTCGATCAGCCTCGATCCATTTGGTGATGTTTCGTCGTGGAGGCTGAATTTTCGACCAAAACCTTCAAAGACACCTTCTTTGCCCACCCTGGCGTTAAAGTCACCAAGCACTATTTGATATCGTGGCGGGGGCAACTCTCACATCTCTCTGGTCACATCGCCCTTCTCTTCCGTCGGGGCGAGGGCGCAAATCTGCAATATGTTGAAGAACTTCGCTTTGATGCGAATTGTGGCTAGACGTTCATCCACCGAGGTGAATGACAGTACTTGGCGACAGAGTCTCTCTCCCACCACGAATCCCACATAAAATTTGTGCTCCTTAATATTGCCACTGTAGTCCTGTCCATCGCATTTCTAGGAAGGCGGTGATGTCAGCCTTCACTCTAATCAACCATCTGGGCAGCAGCACCTTCCCAATTAAGGAACGGACATTTCAGGTGCATGCCCTCAAATTGTAGTCTTTATTTCGTTTGTTATGGTCGTCATCAAAAAAGTGGTCTCTCATCCGAGGCTGTCGTTTAGTTTACATTGGTTTTGTTTTTTACGTGGTGAGTCCCAAACCCAGCGCACAACCCTGTGGAGGGAATGTTCCGCCTTCTCACTTTAACTCGCCTTCAAACGGATGTTCTTAGCCTACCCAGAGGATACTTGGTCAAAGACCGGAAGTCGTGAGCTGCTTGAGCCATAAGTAAAAGAATCGTTTCTGGGCACTCCCAAGTGAATGTCGGTCAGAGAACTTTCTTCACTTACGTGAACTTCTACACATGACTCCATCCTTCCATCCCCAGTAGTTATAATCTAACTAATAGAAATCATAAAGATGGTAGCAGTAGAATTATGTATGTGTCTGCCACAGTAAAGCGTGGACGGGTTCTCTAGTTCTATAATAAATTTCACTTTCATTGTGGTTTCATAAAGAAATACCCTGTTATTTACTATCGATATACATCAACTGTTGAAAGATGTCTGTTGCAAGCAGATTTAAACAATTTGGTTACTTGGTGCGGTATATAAATGATATGTCACCGAATCTTAAAAACTGTAAGACGATGTGCTTTTCTCGTAGATGTTCATAATATACAAACTATATTCTTAAGCAAGTATTTAACTTTGCCATATATTACTAGATATATTTAAAAAACTGTGGAAACCATTCCGACAAGTTAGCGTCCGTTCAAAAGCAATTTTTACTTTACGCCTTAGGATATTTCAAGTGACATTCTAAGTTCAGTCTTCCTCCATAAATTTAACATCCGGCTCGCTTATCGGGGCAATTTAGACCCTAACTCTTAAAATCATAAAATTTTGAACCAAACGATGCACACTTGTTTGGTCAAACTAAAAGCAATTCTTTCTCCTTTTTTCACTCAATATATATAGTATGTAAATCATATTTAAATTAATAGATAAGATGAGTAATAATGTTTAATAAAAAATAGTTTCAAAGGTTGCATGTGATTAGGAAGTTAAGTCTTGCATAAAAGTACATATGTTTACAGGTAAGCATATAGTAGGTTGGCCGAGTTATATGTTTCAAGGATCTTCAATGCCTGTAGCGATGTAGATGAGACATGTAGGGAAACAGAACGATGTGCGAAAAGCACGTTTATAGAATATTTAAGCGACTCATTCTTAGACCTCTAAACGAGCGATAACTTGGCATAATCTCCGTCCTTGGGTGAAGAGATGACCCGATGAAATGAGGCAAAAAGTTTGCATTTAGTATAACACTTTACCAGCTATCGTTTACATAAATGCATAAACTCTTCTTCTTTATTGGCGTAGACACCGATTTTACAACAGCGAGCTAGTTGTTATTCCTTTTCTCTGTTTGACGCTAATTGGAGACTCCTAGTGTAGCCAGATTTTCTATATATTATGAACATGGCAAAAAACATTTTAGTCAAAACCTCAATTGTGCTAACGTTACAAGGCATCTTCGGGAGAAACTAAAGCAACTTTTTCTATCTGTAATAAATTAAATAATTTTCGCAAATTATAATTCTGAAAAAATGCTAACTTTCTTTGTTAAAATTTACTGTTAATCGTTAGAGTTTTCAAAATGACACGGTCGAGACCAATTGCATTCATAAACTGCGTTAAACCATATTAAATTTAATGGCATGGCCACTTAATTTCTGCAAACATCTCAAATGTTAACCAACACAAATAGTTCGAACTTGGTGGAAAGTTGGGAGTTAGGGGAAAGGGGACTAATTGCTTTAAATTTAATACTTCTTCCTTATTTATTTATCAATTATCGGTATTGCACTTTTAGTACTTTCAAACATTATCGTTATATGGAAAGTGGGATAGCCCCACCCGATTTCATCCATTTTAGCGCTGTCGAGCCGAGCGTAAACTTAATTTCGGCCAGCGCTGACTGATTTTAGGTGTCGTAGATTTATAGATTATAATATAATTTATAATATACGATCTGCGGGCACCCTTAGTGGTTTGAAAACGAACAGACAGTTAGTAAACATTTAGCTTGTCCCGTCTTCGTGATCGTTTATATACAAGTATATCGTCACCTAAAATGCACAATAACGTAGCAACTCTTTTCATAAGTTTACAGACAAAGGAAAAACGTTAAACGTCATATTGAAACGACATTTGAGTTTTGGTTATAAAATGGTTATCACGCACTCATATTGTAAAAATTGTTATATATTGGTTAATATATCTGACAGCGATATTGGTTTTTTTTTTATCTGTTTTGCATTTTAGGTGAAGATATAAAACTCCACAGAATAAGAAAGCTTTGATTGTGGACATTTTGGATAATTTATTGAACTGTTATTAGGCTCAAATAAAATTATAATAAAATTAAAATAATTATAAAATTCCGTTTCAATTTCATAAACTGTTTTTTTTTTAATTTATCACCAGTTAGTTACAATAATGCATGGTCCATTTAGAATTGGCAAATCCAACAGATTTTAATGACATTTACTTGCTTAATATTAATATTCATATACCATACATGTACATAGCTGAGCTGAAGCACCTTGAAGTTGATCATATATTTACTGTTATTCAACACGAAATAATATTTTTTAACTTGTTTTGGTATTTTATCATTCTACATTAAATAAAAAATTGATTATATATCAATGTATTCACAAATCGAAAGACAATAAGAAAGCAATAATAAGACGATTGAACTTAGTACTAATACTGTCGATTGACAAAATACCAAACCGGTGAACTCAAAGTGATAATTATTAAAAAAAATAAATCAGTAATTATTTTATGAGATTGTATTTAAATAAAAAGTTTTGTTTAATATATGTTTAATGATTGAAGCTTCATTTATTTGTTATTAAGAATCGTTTGAATGCAATTTTTCTGGCTTATATACAATCACACAATATATGGTAAGAATAATGATTTTTCGTTTGTTTATTTCTACTTAATATATATAAAAAAATAATGATAAAATTGGAAATCGTTTGAGCTATCAAGAAGGTAATAAAGTTTTTTTTACATATTATCGTTATTAGGGTGCTTCAAAAATTTTTTTGAATTTTTCTTTCAACTCTTAGCCCTTCAAATGTTAGTGATTGACAAACAAACAATCCTAGCTCAAACCAGGTTCTGTAGCTTAACTCTAAGGGGTCGCTATTTTTTTTAGGTTCTCAAAAAAATAACCATCACATATTCATAAAGTTGGCTTTTCAAATTTTAAAAAATTCTGCGTCAAAGTTTGATTATCTCAATTAGGTGATTAAACATAGTGATTTGAAATTTGGAATTTTTTCAATAAAAATAAAAAAGTTTCTGAGAATAATAATTTTGTCGCGGGTATTTTTAAAGTTATAAAAGCCAACTTTATGAATATGTGATGGTTATTTTTTAGAAACGAAAATTAGTTGGTGAAATTTTAACTTGAATGAAAAAACGAAAATTCCTATGTTAAGTGTATGGGAACCTAAAACAAAAAAATTAGCGACTCCTTAGAGTTAAGCTACAGAGCCTGGCTTGAGAGAGGATTTTTTGTTTGTCAATCACTAACATATGAGGGGGTAAGAGTTGAAAAAAAAAAAATAAAAATTTTTTCAAGCACCCTAATCATTATACAAAACATTGCTACAATTTTTTTTAATATAATCCAAAGGCGTAGCGTCCAGTTAATTACTTAATATTAAGCAAAACACAGCTATATATAAAATTTTCTTATATATTTTATAGAAAAATTCTAATTTCTACAAACATCAAAACATCACTGGTTTGTCCTTACATTGATCTATCACGTATCCAGTGAAGCGTTTAAGGAACTTAGGATATTCGCGCTTGTAAACAGCGCGTAAAGCGGATGCAGGTGCCCAACCACCGGGATTCACTGTATTAAGCAAATAAATGTATACAATATTATTAAAATTAATTACATAACACGTATCAAAACCTTCTAATACTTACCAACAGAGCAGTATGTGATTTTACAAGTTAATTCATCTCGGCTGAGGATATCGTTACTTGTTTTTCCAGGTGGTAAAAGCGTTTGACAAGCTAAAATCACTGTCAGAAATATGCGTATACATTTGCCATTTTTGGACTAAAATACAAATAAAAAAAATATAGATTTAAATTAATGACATTGAATAGACAAATTAAAATATGATAAAAAGTTTTTATATTCTCGGTATTTGTGAAGCAAACGGAGTAAGTAGATTAAGCAGATTCAAGTTAAGAACATCTAAAATAGAGTAATTTCAATTTCCAGTGTGTGGATTGTCAAAATATAACAAAATATGAGCGAGTTTCAGCACAGATAGCTCCAAATAGACCAAGGAAGATAATTTTTGAAAACAAAAAGGCATATTCGGTGAAACCCATTGGAAAAAAGATAAAATAAGAATAATTAAGGGAAAAATAATTTACGGGCGATCGGAGGTCGGAAAGAGGAAGTAGAAGAGGGGGTGGTTGAATCTTTAGGGTTTAAATGATTTAGCTCAAATTCTATGAAAAAAAATTTAAATGTTAACGTAATAAAAAGATCTAAAACATTTGTTTCAACACATTTTTTACATAATTAAAATTTTAATTTACGTGAAAAATTAAAAGTATCGACACACACCACCTCTTCGTCGATTTCTAAGCTGCTTTTGACGGTACGAAAAGGAGATGGCTTTATTAGGTTCTCACTGCTATCGAGCGTAAAGAGGGCGAATTCGAAAATAACATTACCGTCTTACTATTAAAGTGGATAGTCAACAGTCTAGCTGCGTTCAGAAGTGTAGATCTCCTGCTACCTTAATAACCTACTTTAATACCACGGACATAGCCAGAAGGTGTATGGTTGAGAAAGTTGCTCTCAGAGTGCAAGCTTTGGCACTTAGGAATCTTCAAACACTTTGCTTACATTTCAAAATGCTTGGATTACGATATCGCTGAACCTAATTCTGACATTTTCTCTGTCACGTATCTTCGAGGGGCTTTCTTCACAAGTGTGATCTTTTCCAGCGTCTTCTGCCATGTGATTGTATTGTAAAATGAAAATAATATTTTGAAAAAAAAGAAAGCAAATCTTTTAAAATTCAAGCGACATATACATACATATGTATATATTAAAATACACCCGTTCTTATAGACATACATAGTTATTTAGCACAGCTGCAAGACTGCGAGAAAGCTCTCAGTTGTCACTCTATATAATAATTTGAGAATATTTCTAAATTTCCCGATGACTAATATGTAAAATGTAAAATTGTTCAAAGGTCTAACAAACCTGACGTTATTTTACAAAGAGAAGCATAAAATAGCTCTGTTATGTCATTTGTAATAACAATTGAAAATTTAAAACAAATAAAATTACCAAAATTAGCGATGAGCTCAAATTTGCAGTAGATTACATATCAAATAGGAATGAATATCGCTTCATTCCTAACAGAAAATGCCTTTTCGCGACGATGACAAAAGCTGTCTAAAAAAATGTATGGTCCCTCGGACTACTTTGCTTGTGAACGCACTACATTCATTCCAACATGACATGAAAACAAAAGACATGGTTTTAAATGAAACCGGAAGTAAAGACAAATTAACAAACATCACCAGGATGGTTCACCGTTAATATGACAGTCGGGTCTACGTAACCGGAATGGACCCGGATTCTTTATCCGCTCAAGGACTTTCAACACGGCAGAATTCTGCCGCTACAACAACAACAACAACAACAACAACAACAGGATGGTTCTATACAATTTTTTTACATTCATACCTAATGACATAAGTATGCAAAAACGTTTTTACAGAAACCTTTAATGACCAAAGTAAATGTGATATTTAAAACAAGAAAAAATGTTAACTTTGATCGCTTGGAAGCTATAGTATCCTTCACAAATAAAATAATTTCCATAAAAAACGTTTTGATCGGTTAGTTTGAATGGCAGTGGTCCCACCAGAAAAATTTGTTCGGAGATTATGTCGTTGTATTGGACAATAATCCATGCTAAATTTCAGGAAGCACTTAATTCTGATCGGGCTTATGACAGGTCTTATATTTTGACAAATTACCGACTTGTTAGCAATAAAATTTATTTTTCCAGTCATTAATTATGAATAATTGAAAAATAAGGTTTTGAAAAAAAAAGAATGCAAATCCTTTAAAATTCGTGCTGAACACATAGAAAGAGACTGCCTTCAAGCGACATCTGTCAAATATTTAAAAAAAAATGATCGACAGCAGGGTCTCAGTTGTCACTCTATATGGTAATTTAAAAATATTTCTAAATTTCCCAACGATAGTAGAGAGGATTAGTGATGCCATTAATATGTAAAATGTAAAATTAATCACTAACAATTAACATCTAACAGACCTGACGTTATTTTACAAAGAGAAGTATAAAATAGCTGTTATGTCATGCGTAATAGCAATTGATAAATTAAAACAGAAAAGTTTACCTATTTACTTTTTTTTTTTTTTGTTTTTGCATAAAAAATTTCACTTTGAACAAATTTTAAAATTTCATTGAAGTGAAAGGCGACCTTCTTACAAATGTTCATGTAGCAGGCTACACGACGCCATTAACAGTTCACTGCTGGGCAGTCATGTCGTGTCGCTCTCTATGTGTTCAGCATACAAGTTTCATGAATTGTGAGCATAAATAAACGATTGTAATGGATATTTATACAAATATGTAAATATGTGATATTTCCTTGTCCAATCAAATATCAATTAATTTACATAATATGTGATGTGGCTGACTTACTTCTTGTTTAGAATATTCCGTCGAGTTATTACATACAACCCACATGTCTACCGCGTCATCATCTAATCCATCTGTAATTTTGCGCATGTGAGACCAGAATAAGGCATCACGTTGACTGGCGGGCCAGATACGTTTATGCGTTTGTAAAAAGACAAATGTGTCTGGTGAAATTTTCTCTAATATTGTACAGTCTTCCAAGGTTGCTGTAAAATTTTAAATACACTGTTATATACATAAATGTTTCATATTTTGAGATTATATTCTTACTCTCCCATTCATTGCGAAATTCGGGCATGAAAAAGTAATGACACATTTCGCGTGCAGTTACCCCATTGACACTGTGATATGCTTTCAATGGGTCCATCACTAAGCCATTCACTTCTTCTTCACGCTTGTACATTTTTATTTCACCTTCATCTGCAAATATTTGCCAACCATTACCTCCTTGGCCAACTCCTTCGCGAGCATAATGTAACTGCTCGCGGCACACACGATCGATCTGCAAATTAAAACGAAATTTGTTAAAATTTACGCAAGTAACATTTACAACTCAGCGGAATATGATTTTAATACATATAACAACAATTAAAAGTTTAGTTATCATTAATTTTATTCATTTTAGTTTACCTCAGGCCAGAGAATGTGGCTTCTAGCTAAGCCCCCAGTTCCGAACTCATCTGTACTGGGATCATTTCCTTTTTGTTGAGCTTGATGTGGCACATTGGCCAAAGTCAATGATTGTTGCGTCTGCAGTTTTAGTTTCGCACGAATCTGCATATCCTCTTCGATCTTTTCTAGCCCAGTTTCAACAGCATCAAAGAACTCATCTTCCGGCAAAGTGGAATGAGGACCCTCCTGAAAATTTTAAGCGAATAATTAATTATATAGGACAAAGAAAAGTATTTACTAATTTGAAATCTATATTTATACTCATGCATAATATGTATATGTTTCCTTTTTAAGATCTTATATTAAAACATTGGGTAGTTGAAAAATCTTTTCGTATTTTGTCAATAGATGTCATTGCAGCGCTACCAATCACATTGTTTCATACCATCTAGTGTTGGAGAGGTGAGATTTACAAAAAAAAACTTAAATTCGGGGAAGTTAAAAAAGTTACAGCTGTTCCAAAATGAGTGAAAATAAAATAATAAATCAATGAAATTTGTGAAGTTTACGGGTACGATGCTGTATAAGTTCGTGTAGCACAACAACGGTCGCTCAATTCCGTTCAGGAAATTTCGATTTGCACTGATGGAATAATGTTTCTAGAGGAAAACTGGCAAAAAGTGGTTGACCAAAATGGTACATATTTCATTATTTATTTATTATTTTTATAATAAAAAAGTAAGTTGAAGCTTGATTAAAAATGCGAAAAGACTTTTTCTACGACCCAATATTTCATACAAAAATAGAAAAAGTCAAAATAACATGTAAGGAGGTGCTAAGTTCGGGTGCAACATTTTATAATCGTGTAACTGACAAGAATCAAAGCCAGGGAAATACTTTAAGGTGTAAAACCAATCATATAGAGTAAAGTCAGCCGGATGTTTGATAATCCTGTTATTAATTATATAGGGGCTAGGCCAAGTTTATGCTCAAATGTATCTATTTTAGGCATAAAGAAGTTTCATTGGATTTCAACAATTTTCGGTCATAAGGTGGCAGATACTAGAAACATTATTCGTGCAAAGTTTTATCCCGTTATATTAATTGCTTCTTGATTTGTGTACTGGAAACTAGACGAATCAAGTGGAATTAAACATTGTGCTATATGTCAAGAAGGCGTGGTTGTTGTTCGATTTCGTCCATTTTCACACTGTGACATAAAAATGTTAGAAGAATGTCAGGTACAAAATTTTGTCGAAATCGGTTAGTGGGGTCCAAGATTTACTATATTACCAAAAAGTGGGCAGTATTCCACCCATCGACAAATTTTCACATCGGCTTTCATAAAGCTCTCTCATCACCATATAGGTGGTTCTGACGTATTTGAGTTATCGCTTTTAGTAGTTTTTAACAGCATTTGAAAAGCTACGCTACTCCCTTAGCATTTCAATTTGCTATTGCTACCGCTCTCATTTTATCGGGAGCCATACCAGACCATTGCAGAACAATGTAGAAGTATGTGCTCTGGTCTGCTCGGAGTTTTGTTAAGTAAAAAACTATATCTGTAGCAATAGAAAATAAGGCAAATACTTTTACATTGCTCTGTTATGGCTCCCGTCAAAGTGAGAGCGGGAGCTATAGCATAGCAATAATTGTAAAAAATTTACTTTTTAATAGTACCGTTATATGGGGAGTGAGCGGGATTTCGTCCATTTTCACATTGCTGGTGGAAGTTCTTACAAGACTTGTACTCAACAAATTTTATTGTTGTAGCTTAACTAGTTTTAGCAGGTATGTATATTAAACATATTATTATTAGGGCGGACGTACTCGAAAGGTTCATCGAGATATTTAATTTTTTACTCAAGTTACAGCTTGCACGGACAGTGAGTCAACCGGACTTCAACTTCGTCATTCTGATCATTTATACATATATTAGGTTGTCAAAAAAGTCTTGCGTTATTTTCGCTAGTTGGCGCTGAGAGCGCGTCGTTCTAGTTTTATTCGTCGCATCGGGTCATGCTATACCTTTTTAGAAAGCTCATTTCAGGCGCTAACACGTGTTTGATTGATTGTCGTTTCTTTTAAGTCGTTCGTGAGTTATAGCGTCGCAAACACGGAGCAAAATAAAGAGAAAATACGGCATATTTTACAGTACTACTACGATAAAGACAAAAATGCATCTCAAGCCGCCAATAAAATTTGTGCAGTTTATGGACCCGATACAGTTTCCATTTCCACCGCACAACGATGGTTCAACGTTTTCGTTCTGGTGTAGAGGTTTTCAAAGATGCGCCACGCTCCGGAAGGCCTGTCGTCGAAAAATGCGATAAAATCGCTAAATTGGTCGAAAGAGACCGGCATAGTAGCAGCCGTAGTCAAGAGCTGACCATGAGTCATCAAAAAAAATTTTATGAACAATTGAAAATTCAATAAAAAAAATACCGCAAAAATACCGCAAGACAACCTAATATATAACCCTATATCTATCTCGCTTAGTTTTAGGTGTTACGTACAATCGTTAGGTGAACAAAACAATAATACTATGTAGCACCTGGTTGCATGAGTATAAAAACGAAAATCGTTATACATATGTAGTTTATGGGAGTTGGAGATAGTATCGACCCGATTTTATTTTCCACCCACAAGTGGCCACTTACTTGGTCAGTCTTAGCCCGACTCCTATTAAACTCGAGAGTAAAATTTTATGTCTCTGGCATATTTAGTTATTGATTTATGGCACTTTTAGTACTTTTTAACAGTACCGTTATATGGGAAGTGAATAGTTGTATGGACCGATTGTTATCTATGTTACGTTTCCAGTTCCTCTTTGATGGTAAAACTAGGATGCCTCATTAAGAAGGCTGATTCAAAACGTTTTTTATACTGGGCACTCATTTTTCTTTACTTCACAGCATGAAGTGAAACATTAAGATCTAAAAAAAAACTGGCCGAATTGTACGCGGCAGTGGGCGCAATTGAAAATGTCATTTGCATACAAAAAAAAACAGTTTTCCGCAAATTGCAAAAGAAAAACGTTATATTTTGAGCGCACTGTAAATAGCAGTACATATTATTGAACAGAATTTTAAATGTACTCACTTTTGGGATGTTTGGTGTAGTATGTTTTCTTTTATACGAGTATGTTGAGTATTTAATTAAATTTTTTTCATTTACATGGTTTCTTTTTAACAACATTTTTTTTAATTTTAAACAGTTATAAAATATTTTTACATTAAATTTTATTCTTCAGAAGGATAAAAGCACATATTTTAACACGTTTTCATACGAAAACAACGAACAACTTTGCGAAAAGTATTGGACAAATAAAATTCATATTTTAAGTAGTAAAGCCAACTGTGGACGACCAAAACTCTCTACTTACAGTACACAAATAATATCTCGGCAGAAGCGGTTACCATTTTCGCCATAACTCTCTGAGTAACATATGGAATATGTGCGCTCTAACGATCAGTCGATCAGTGTTGCCATTAAAAATTTGTTGACTTTAATTAATCTGGAACTGGGCTTCCATAAGAAACTTTTGGTTATGTGCGTTAAATCAAACTATTAAATAATCGTTTTGTCCATGTTTTTGTACATATTACGAGCATATTCTTCCAAGTTTTTGTTCGAGTTTAAACGTAAATGGGAACGTAGGTATCCCTGATTTCATTGATTTTAAAGCTGGTTTCACAATTTTTATATCGAAAAACAGTGCATTTTCACAAGAAATATATATGTATATTAAAATTCCCGCGATTTAAGAAATCATTATTTTTGTAATATTACTTTTGACTAGCGTTGGCAACCACAACTACCTATTTGATCACAACTTGAACGTGTAGTGCATTTTAACTATTTATGTTTTCCATTTCTTCCAACCACGTTTACTTTTGTATACGGTTTACTTAAAATAATGCTAGCAAACATAGTTTTGGACTAGATCGGACATTATGAGATACCTTGCCTAATTGGTTTACTTGGAAATCCACACTGAAATAAAATTAAGCACGTGCGCATGCGTATTGCTGACCTTGAAGAGCAGTGGCCATCGTTTTAATAAGTTAAAATAAAATATATAAAAAAATTACTATTGTATACTTTTTCAACGGTCTCCAGCTGGGCGTTCGTGCAAAGTCCTATAATTTTTCAACTCTCATTAATTCATATTGTCTAACTTTTATCAATAACGACTTTGTATATAACAGTATATGCACATATTTATATGATTACATTCAAATCTATGTATATGTATACATGCACATACATTTATATACTTATACATATATGTATAAATTACGTTTCGCGCTGTTTGTCTGGGGTAAATTCCTAAAATACTAGACCGATTTTAGTAAAATTTAGCACAGTGTGTCCAGTTTGATCTCACTTAAAAAGTTGATTAAAAGTTAGAAATATAATTCAAATCATATACATAATTCATACAAAATCTTGATTTGGATAGGTCAGTTTGTATTGCAGCTATATGATCTAGTGGGACGGTCAAAACAATTTCTTCGGAGATTGTACCGTTTCTTTGGAGAATTATACATGCCAAATTGTATGAAGAAGATATCTCGACAAACTTGATTTGATTCCGATCTTTCACTTTGCGGTGGGATCGGCGAATAGATATCTCAAAAACTGAGAAAGTGAGTGAGTGAGTGAGTTCATATAGTATATACCAAACAGACGGATATGGATAAATCGACGCAGCTCGTCATGCACATTTCATTTGTACGTACTACTGTGATCAAATTGAAAGGTGAATTTTTAATTAACACTTCGCGTGTTTTTCGAATCGGTACTTTCTTTTCTGAAGTCGGTAGTACTGTTAGTAACATCTATGCTAAATTTCACGTCAAAATATTCATTAGTATTTGAGATACGCGTCGTTTTGTGAGTCTCTAAAAGTGAATTCTTTGATTTTTACTATGTCTGAATTTATTGAACAATGAAGTGCGATAATGCACCATTTCATATTGCATTGATTATTCGTGATAATTTCGCCACATTTTCAACTAATATCGTGCCGCTTCTGGCTATTCAGCAAATTAACAAGATCACTCCGAGGACACTGTTTTGACTCAATTAAGGATGTAAAAGCTGAATCACGACGGAGAATTTTTCCAAGTGTTATGTTGACTGGAAAATTCGTTAGCATAAATGTATTTCAGCGGGAGGGGATTACTTTGAAGGAGATGAAATGAACAAAATTCACCTTTCAATTTGATTACAATAGTATA